CTTTGTTACCTCCTTGTCCCATGTAGTTACAGGATAAATACAATAGTTGTGAGCTGTAAATTAAAGTGGTGGCTGTTCCCCCCTTATTCCATGTAGTTTCAGGGTAAATACAACCGTTGCGGGCTGTAAATTAAAGTGGTGCTTGTTCTCCCCTTATTCCATGTAGTTACAGGGTAAATACAACATTTGCGGGCTATAAATTAAAGTGGTGCTTGTTCCCCCCTTATTCCATGCAGTTACAGGGTAAATACAACCATCGCAGACTGTAAATTAAAGTTGTGCTTGTTTCCCCCTTATTCCATGTAGTTACAGGGTAAGTGGCTACAACAAATTGCTCTGAAACAATTGTTTATATACACACATACATTATATATCAGGTAATATATCAATAAACATGATGACTGTTTTATTTATTTCAAATATTATTTGAAATTTGGGTTTTTAAATTAAAATCAAACAATATGACAACAGTAAAAACACAGGCAACACATAATAAAATATAAAAATGTATTACACCAGTTCAGAAAAAAGCAAAGCAACTCCATACTTATACAGTTAAACCAAATTCTTTTGAATAGCTCGTTTAAGAACAAATTTAAGATTTTGTTTAATTTGTTCATGTTTTTCACCCACTGATGAAAAGTTAAACTATTATGGTCAAACCATCACGTCAATAAACACACAGTGTATAAACACTGAAAGTCAAGAACTATAGTGAACTGACAGGATTTTACAATTTTGATCCACGTCCTCAAGCACATTTTGACTAATGTTAGTTCACAGTTCCTGGTTTCAATCGCCGCTCAATGTTGTGAGAACATACTCGGACAAAAGATATTCCTGTCAGGAGCGCCGCAAACATGGATAGACTCGTCTCAAGCGCCATTCCAGTGGTTTCCAGTTCCTGATCACCACATTCACTGGTCCAGTTGGGCGTTTGGATTGAAACAATAACCCAGCATTTTTAAAATGTAGGCCTACACAGTGTGTTTTTGCCAAATCGCTTGCAAATATAAGATTGTTGTTAGGTCATAGCCTACATACCACGTAATATTAGAATAGGTACCCCTTAGTTTCAAAATACTTACAGTAGAAATCATTTGTAATTTTACAGGTTATTACCCCTTTATTCCCCAAACTTCACATATTATTCCCTTATACCTACACAGAGGTACTGAATAGGTACACTATACTTACAAAAAAGTTACAGTGTCAATTCTGTTTACTTACGCAGTACGTTGCAGGTTTTAATCTAAAGAGTTACCCAATATTCCATGTTAAATGGCTAAACCATTGATTTGATGTAAAATGTTGATTAGGTCGACAGCATTTACAATAAGACATGGTGATAACATGAGAATGATAATAATGAAGCAAAATGCTCTGGATTTCTCAGAATCTGGAGAGCACAATACACTGAAGTAAGATACAGGAAGAACGAAACACCACTTCCGGTGAGGTGTAAAACTTTTGCCCGTTTGTGTCCAACTGTAGACTTGGGTTCAAGTAAAATGATGAGTGCTGAAGTACTGCATCAACATGTGCTTTACTGTGATTCTCACTTTCAGATTACTGCAGGAACATTTTATTTGTATGTCTGTGTAGAGAATATGAATTATTGAAACGCTTCCCACATGCAGTGCAGTGATACGGTTTCTCTCTAGTGTGGATCCTCTCGTGTGTTTTCAGAGCTGATGACTGACTGAATCTCTTGTCACAGTGTGAACACTTGTAAGGTTTCTCTCCAGTGTGAATCATCTCATGCAGTTTTAAATGGCTCATTAAAGTAAAAGTCTTCTCACACTCAAAGCACATGTACTTTCTCACACCAGTATGTATTTTCTGATGTTCTTTCAAACTTTTTAGTAATGAAAAACTATTTCCACACAAATGACATGAATGTGGTTTCTCCTTTGTATGAACTCTCAGGTGTTTCTTCAGGTATGAAGCTCTCAAAAATGTTTTGCCGCACTGATCACATGTGTACAGTTTATCTCTAGTGTGGATGTTCATATGATACTTAAAGTTTGATGATTGTGTGAATCTCTTCCCGCACTGATCACATGTGTGTGGTTTCTCTCCAGTGTGGATCCTCTCATGCCGTTTTAAACTGCTCGCTGTAGTAAAAGTCTTCTCACACTCAAAGCACATGTACTCTCTCACACCAGTATGTGTTTTCTGATGTTCTTTCAAACTCTGTAGTGATGAAAAACTCTTTCCACACAAATAACATGAATGTGGTTTCTCCTTTGTATGAACTCTCAGGTGCTGCTTCAGGTGTGAAGCTCTTACAAATGTTTTCCCGCACTGATCACATGTGTGCAGTTTCTCTCCAGTTTGGATGTTCATGTGATGCTTAAGGCTTGATGAATGTGAGAAACTCTTCCCGCACTGATCACATGCGTACGGTTTCTCTCCAGTATGAACTCTCATGTGAAGTTTAAGATGATGTTTGCATGTCCATCTCTTTCCACACTGAGTGCAGGTGAAAGATTTCTTGGCTCTTCTTTTCTTTAAATCTTTCTGAGTTTGAGAGCAACTCAAAGGTTTTTTTCCAGTTTTGAAGTGATTTTTTCCCTCAGCTTCACTCAATTCTTCATTCTCCTCATTTTCTTCAGTCAACTCTGAAATAAAAGTAAAAATGGTTTATTTTCATTAACTCATAAAAAAAGAAATGTGAAAATACATAAACGTGAACCCTGATGTAACAGCAGAAAGTAGACAATTGCTATACAACATTTTGATCATTTTGATGCAGTTTTATAAATACATCACGTACATTTGATCTATTAAACATGTTTGGTCAACTTTTTTTTTGTTGAAAAAAGTACCCAGTTTACAGAAAGTGTCTCTTATTATTTGATTATTTAGCTATATTACTGCAGAGCTCTACAGAATTGTTAAATTACAACAAAAACACTCTAAAGCTTAAAGCTACTTTATAACCGTCAGCATTATGAATGAAGAAGAATAAACACCAACCTGTTAGTTCTTCAGTATTCAGTATCTGTTTGATTCTGCAGGGTTCTGGATCTCTCATCTTCTCTCTGTCCTCTTTAATAAACTCAGTCTTTGCAGATTTCTTCCTGATGATTTGATGCTCGTCTTCTCTTGTAAACTGATGGGGATATTGCAGCATTTATTGGTGAATTGCTGAATGTGTGATTGCTGTGAGGAGCTTCACTGAACATGAATTTCTGTGTGGAAGAAGCAGATTTGCCAAAATAAACAATAAATCTGTTTACTTATTTTTAACTAATTTACACATTTAAACATTAGTATACATAAAGCAGATGGGCACACTTCAAGTATAACTCGTTTGAAGTAATGGTGCTTCATATAACATTATCCAGAGAAACAAATGTTAATGACAAATCCCCTGTGATGTTTGTACTGGCTACTGTATACAGGCCTCCAGGGCACCATACAGACTTTATTAAAGAATTTGCTGACTTAATTTCCAGCGATATCGTCGATTTGGTTGCACAGATACTATTTATTTTTTTTTTTTTTAATGAAAACAGAAAAAATAACAAAA